GCAGGTAGTGGAATGTTTTGGTGAAAGTCATTTCTGTGTGCTATGTGATATTATCAGTTTGTGTTAAAACTATAATAATATAAATAATGTCTGTCTGTCTGTCTGTCTCTCTCTCTCTCTGTCTCTGTCTGTCTCTGTCTGTCTGTCTCTCTCTCTCTCTCTCTGTGTCTGTGTGTGTCTGTGTTTGTGTAGAGGTGCATTCATATGTATACCTCTGTAGCCTGAGAAACCCAAAAGCCACATTGGATAGTGTTTCCTAGGTCCCATCTACCCTGGTTTTAAAGCAGAGTTTATCTTGCCTTGGTCTGGGGCTCACAATCCATGTTGGTTATGCTGGCTGGCCAGTGAGTCTTCTGGACCTATGTTTCTACACCTCTCCAGCACTGGCATCACAAACACATGCCTCCACATTTCTATTCTTATTTATTTAAACGCAGGTTCACCAAAGCCAACTGAATCATCACTATAGACCTAGAGACATTTCTTGATGCTTGGAGATAGGGTATCTGTGATGATGTCATTCACATTTCTTACACATATCCAAAAGAAAAATATTTTTCCTGGGTCAAAAATTTTTAAGTCTAAATATCATCTGGATATAGAGTTTTCTTACTACTAATAATCATGACCATGTAGAGATTTTTGATGGGTTTTATTTTCTCTGCCAGTTAAAGACTTAAAAGGTGGAGACAGTCTTGAGAGCAACAGATAACGGCAGAGAAATCTTGAACACAAGCTTATAGGAGAAGAACAAATCAGCCATTGAAGAAAGGCTTTTATTAGGAATGAGGGAGCACACACATGCAAGAGGCACACAGAGAAAAAGCACAGGGAATATTCCCGAAGGCCAAACCCAGCTTTTCCTTGATGGCTGGAGGTTTTAAACATCTGTGAAGGACCTTTCTTCTCTGATTTAGGGTTAGTCAGTGTTTGGAAAACAGACAGGATGGCTGACTTCACAGCAGCTATTTTATAAACATATACTGATCTGGCCTTGAACTTGTTGAGTGACTGAATCCATCATCAGAGATCCCAATGGCAGGAGAAAACATTTTCCCAGAAAACAAAATGACCAGAAATTTGGGCTAACCTATCAAGCTTTTGTTTCAGGTCAGGAGGGGAGCAAGAAACCACTGTATTGAAGATTCACCATCTTTATTACCTAGTGATGGCCCCTTTCCTTATCCAATTGCCTGCCTGAGTTCTGTCTAATTATTACTCCATCATAATGACAGTGGTAAGAGCAAGATGTCTGGGCATTACCAGCCAATGTTTCCAATGTTTCTATAGACTGTACTCTGAGTAAAGACATGCACAGCTTTTAGATCCATTGGACAGATGAATAATGGGATTAGAGAGAATGTTACTTGTTCTAAGTGACATTATAGAGCCACCATTTGGACGCTCTGGCTCCTAAGGAAAGTTACACCATACTGCATCACACATGTTTTAGAAATAATCTTGGGTCTCATTTCACATCACAGCATCAGAAGATGAGCATCAAGTCACAGGCTCAGTCTTAAAACAAATAATTCCATTGCCTAGTTTATTGCTTCCCAAAAGGTTTAATGCTTAATCCATCCCTTCTTTCAGGCAAGTGTACATTTAATCAGAACATGTGCAATCCTGATACTTTTATAAAAATCATTTGTACATTTGCAATCCTAATACTTTTATAAAAGCCGTTTGTATAAATGTGTACATGTGTTTTCATGTGTGAATGTAGGTGTAAAGATGTCTTGGCACAGGTGTGGAGGTCAGAAGACAACCTCGGGTGTTTGTCCTCACATTGCTCGAGACACATTACCTTATTATTTGTTGCTGACTCTGTCAGGTTACCTGGCATGCAAGCTTCCAGATGTTTTCCTGTCACTACCTCCTAAGCATTGGCTCTACACTTGTATTTCTAGCTTTTTGTGGGTTTTGGAGGTGCCTGTGAACTGAATGCTTTACCCCATGAACCATCTCCTCAGCCCAATGTTGCTGTGTTTTAAGAATCCATTCCTCTAGCTCTGGAATGAGTATTAAAATTTTACTTTCAATAAAAAAAATTAAAATGGGTGAATGGGATGGGGGTATAGCCCAGAGGTAGAGTGCTTTCCATGTGTACATGAGGCCATGGGTCTGCTGGAAAAAAACTGAATAGCTAAGTTTTCACAAAGGACATGCTCAGAGAGGAGCAGAAAAGATACTAAAAATGATCAGACATCAGAGAATGGTATTTCATATCAGCAACACAATGAGATAACACTTCACAACCATTATTTAAAAAATAATAAAATAGGAGTGACTGTCAAGGATATTCAAAAATTAGAACCCCATGCATGGCTGTTAGGAGTGGAAGCTTGCACCGCTGCTATGGAAACAGCCTGTCAGTTCCTCAAAAAGTAAACTATGAATTATAATGTGGTCCAGCAGGTCTACCACTAAGTGGGTACACAACTTAATGACAAGTGGTTCTCAGAGAGATGCTTGTATGGTGTTCTCAGCACCAGTATTCACAATAGTTGAAAGAAGAAACAACACAAGTGTCCGGAAGCAGAGTATTAGTCAGCCATACAAGACAACTCAATCTGCAGAAATAGCAACATGTAGAGGAAATAAATACTCTATGCCAAAGTAAAATAAGCAAAACAAAAAGAACAAAGCTACTACTTTAACGGGCTACTGGGTAAGTCCACAAAGATCACAACAGAGGAGTTACTCAGAAGTAGAGAAAGGGGAAGATGAAGAGTTACTAATTTATAAGTTTGGTGATTCTTTGAAGAATGACAGAGAACTCCAGAAAGGTGCTAATTGTTAGACAGCATGTAAAGGCATTTAGTAACATGGAGCTGTATACTTACAGGTTATACAATTTTTTCTATTTCTAACTAGTCAATACTTTTATTTTTTTATTTTTTCCCAGTCTGCTTTTATACCATTTTAATTACACGCAAGTATTAAGGTTAGTTCTAGGTTGAGGAACTAGCAATACAATAGATGCAAATAGTCAAGGAACAAGCAATACAATAAATACAAATAGTCAAATAACAAGCAAGGCAATAAACAAAGTTCTGTGATCACTCCCATGGCCATTGTTTCGAAGGGCTTATCAGGATGACCAAAATATCTGAGCTTAGTTCCCTGTCCTAGCCCAAAGTCATTTTCATGCCTGAAGCCTACTTCTTTGTTCTAGCCTAAGATTTATATTCCTGCCTGAAATTACTTCTTTGTTCTAGCCTAATGTCAGATTCCTGCCTGAAGTCCATTTCCTTGTCCTTGGCCAATGTCTGATTCCTGCCAAGCAGCCCATTTTCTTGCTCTTGGCCAATGTCAGATTCCTGCTAAGTAGCCCCAAAAGCTCTCCATATCTCCCCCTTTTTCATTTCATAATCAAGACTGAGCCTGTCTTAGCTCATTCTGATAAGAATGCCTTCCTTACCCATCATGGAATATGCATTATCCAAAGCAATACACTTACCCGTAGAATCTTACCTGTCCTTGGCTTGCCAGCCTGTTAAATTAATAACCATGTCTGGAGTTTATTTTCAGTTTCAAATTATGTACTTTGGCTCTCAACATGTTGATGGTGTTAAAGACAAGCTTTAACATGATGGGCAGGAGTAAAAGTATACACAGGACAAAAAGGGCTAGCATGATCAAGCTATATATGCCATTCTTGAAACTTGACCAAAATGTAAATACTGACCTCAAGCCATGGATAATTTTATCAGCAGTATCTGCAGCATCGAAACTCAGCAGAGCAGCATTCTTTAAATTCATAATCTCACTATGCAAAGTTAAAACATCCAGAGAGGTGTTAGAATTAAGCCAAATACCCTGAAAGTGTCTTTAAACTTTTTTCCTAGTTATAATGCCTATCATTGTAAATTTTAGAAGTAACACAAGTCCATTGGCATTTGGCATGACACCCAAGATGGATCCTTACTCTTAAACTCTGAACCTCCGTCCAATAATTTGAGTAGGATAAAGAATATCAATCTGTTGTTCTAAATGCCTATCTAAATCTTCTTGTATATTCAACACATTAGTAATTTTTTTTTTTGCTAAATGATTAACAAAAGTAACTGTCTTAACTTCTTGTGTAAAAGCAATTGCAGAAGCAGTGGTGCTAGTAATTAATGTAATTAAAGCTGTTATATCAGCAATAATCAAGCCCACTACCCTCTTGCTTCTGCTTAAAGCCTCACTGACTTCTTCCAATACTTGCAAGCTTTTTTTTCAGAAGACCAAGGTTTTCTAATACTCAGTGTAATCAAACAAAAGCTGATTGATAGACTCCCATAACAGACAGGCCAGGTTTCAACACACTAGCACAATTAGAAGGTGTACAATCAATGCAACTTCATTAAATACTGTAGAAGAAATAAAAGTAATTTTAACATGACAATTAAAAGAGCCTTAACACATGCACTAACACTTGTTTGAAATCTAGATCCTGTCCCAACTTTATCTCTTGCTAACGTAATATCATAGAGAACTGCAGCTAACTTCCAAATATGTCTCTGAAAATGTCCAGAACCAGCCTTCCAAAGGAAGACTATTATTTACAATGTTGGATTGATTTCTAGACCAGTCCATGACTGAGCCCAAATAACTGGTCACATTTAAGAAAATACAAGAGTCATTATAACTTCTCTTTTTGATTCTCTGTTCTACAAGGTCTAAAAACTTGGCAAGGTGGCTTGTCCCATCTAGGGTATAGGTAAGCAAAGGTGGGTCGGGAACTTATGTCCAATACAGCTTCCCAGTCACCATTGTGAGGGCATTCAGCAAGCTCACAGGTCAGCATCATTCTTTGTTTCGGCATCAGAATGTCTCACCCGTCTCTCCAGCAGCCACCATGTTCCTTCAGCACCCTGCAGAAAAAACGCAAACATGCCCTTTTCCCCATATTAAATACCTGATCAGGATCATGCGATATGCCAGTAAATGGATCCTTCCTTTTCACCTAGGCATAAGTATGGCTAGTTGTGGGTGCCATAGACACTCAGAAAAAAAATATGAAATGCTTCACTAATTTGCATGTCATCCTTGCGCAGAGGCCATGCTAATCGTCTCTGTAGCATTCTAATTTTAGCATATGTGCTGCTGAAGCGAGCACCAGGTTATACATTTTATGTCATGTATATGATACGCGCATCCAAGTGGGAGAAAATACTGTTGGCCAGAGAAAAGACTGAGTAGGCACAGAAGTGAAAAGCTAAGTTTAGACACTGCTTACAATGATAAGGACTATCACTGTTAACAGATGGGAAACATCTCTTCAGGAGAATATAGAATTCTTGCTTTAGGTGTATGTATAGTTAGTGGGATATTGGTTGTCTTGGCAAGTGGAACCAGTTCAGTTTTTACAGAGAGTTTGGTTCTAAGCCATTTTAAATCAGGGGCTGATGAAATCTGAAATAGCAGGATGATTCCTCGTAGCTAACAAAGACAGCCATCAGCACAGTGCCAGGCACAAGGCCTTTGCTCAGAATCGAGCTGTTGGTTGAAATGCTAACATCATTAAAAACCCAACAGATGAATGCAAACTTTAAGTGAACTCTAAATATTACGTAGGAGTTGAGTTTTGCACATTTTTGTGGGCAGTGCACTTTTTAAAAAAACTATCCTTTTACAAAATGGAAAAAATAATACAAACTGCCCCACTCAGTCAGGCGCCCCGAGATTCCACTTTAAATTTATAAGACTTTCGAAAAATGATTCTTTTAGGGATGAGAAGCCATGATTTTGATCAGTCAATTAACATTGCTGGGCTGCCTCTCTGAACGGTCACTCACATTTGTATTGAATTTATGTCAGAGTGCATCAGGCAAACAGGAGGAGAAGAGCACAGGAAAAAAATCTTTCAAATTAATTTGAAGAAGTCTAGAGTAGAGAAAATATAGGCCACTTGCTTAAATTATTTAAAGGTAACATTTTATCAGTTGACTCTATAGCAACAAAAATTTAAAAACTATAACAAGATAAAATATATGTCAAAACACAGCACTGAGTTATAATCTACATATATATCCAGATACACATATGCATTTTTAAATACTTCAGAGAGATTTTTTTCCTCCCTGTGTTTTCTTTAATTATCCTTTTTAAATTTTGAAGGATAGGGAGAAAACTTTTTCAGAACTGTTTGAACTGAAACAGAAGTTCTTGGTCATATTTTGACAGTGAGGGTTGCAGAACTCAAATTTCATATTATGGAGTTGGTATCTTATCTTAGATATGTTCAAAAGACACTGGTTTTGATGAATAGTGCCATTGGGAAGGGTCAGGAAAGGCTTTATGGATGAGACATCTAAGAGAAGACTGAGGAATTCTATGAGCTGGTTTCTCACACAGCACCTCCACTAGGAGGGTGGAACACAGGGCAAGAGAGAGGTCAATAAAGAGAGAATTATAGCACACACTAGCAAGACCTGCAAATGGGCCATGCAGCGGACTGCCGTGCTCTCCGTTCGTAAAGCTTTATAAAGAAGTCGTACCAATTACTCTGGGGCCTCAATCTACCTTGGCCTTTATAGTCTGTGCACAGGCTACTTCGGACACAATAGTGTTGAGCTATGCCTCTTATCTTTTCTTTGAGGACTATGTCTGAAGGGTCATGTCTTAGAATTACAAAATAAAAGTGTCCAGAAATCAGACTCTTCAGGGGCAAACCTCCCAATGGACACCCGATGGAAGCCTGGCCTTTTGGCAGACACTAAGATGCATTTTAGGTAATTCCCAAAGGTCCTCGTGGTTCCTGCTTTATGATGGCAGTTGTACTGATTTCTTTTTCTTCCCACCCTCTCACCTGAATGAGGAGAGCATCCCCCAAGGAACCACTATGAAGCAAGTTTCTGATTTTGACCCTCTTGTTGGAGGACCTCAGGGCTGAGGATCAGGGTTGACTTTCATTTTCATGTGACCCTGTCCATCTTTACTCCAGAACAAGTGTATAGTTCCTGTGATACTTCATTTCTCTTATTGCCCCTCCCCTCCTCCTCTCCCATTTTCCCTTTCCCTCCTCCTCCCCTCCCCTCCTTTCCGTTTCCCTCCTCCCTCTTCCCCTCCTCCCCTGCCCCTTCCTCTCCTTTCCTTTCCACTGTCCTCCTTTCCCCCTCTTCCCCTCTCCTCCTGCCTTTCCCTTCTTTTCCCTTCTCTCTTCTCTTCCCCTTTCCCTCCCCCTCCTTCCAAGGTCTGACAATCTGCCTTCCTTTTCCTTCTCCTTCTGTCAGCTGGAGAAAAATCACTTTCCCTCTCTCCTTTTCCCTTACTCCTTCCTTCACTCTTTGTTGCTGGGGATGGAACTTAGGGCTTTATATATGCTAGGCAAGCCTTCTACAACACAGCTATCTCCCCAGGTGTATATGGGCTCTTTACATTTTTAGCAATTGTTTATTTTCTATGTGAATGAGAAAGGAGAAACCACTTCTGAAAGCTACAGGTTTTTTGTTTGTTTGTTTGTTTGTTGTTGGGTTTTTTGTTTTTTTGTTTTGTTTTGGTTTTTGTTTTTTTAACTTGGAGGATATTTAGGGGTAAAGTTTACGTTTAAATTGGTGCAACTAATATACCACCTGGTCATTTCCATCTCTAATAAATATCTCTCCTCAGCCCAGGATGAATCTACAAAGATTCAGAGATGCAAGGTTTTATCCATGGACCTCCCAAGGCCTGGGTACTATCAGGGAGTCTTAGGAATACAGATTTGATTCAAGAACATGTATTTGAACACCCCTTTTATGGAGTGCTTGGAGGACGCCACAGGAACAAGCAATAGAACATTTAATTTATATTAGTCGTAAGTTAGGTTTATGGTCTGACACAAATTCCTCCTCAATACATTGTCAGTTCTCGCAAAGTTCCTCTTATCAGCCATTTATTAACGTAGTAGGGTAGAGCAGTAATTTAAACATTTTGAGCTTTGAAGTCAAAGAGATACAGGATAAATTCTAGCTTCCCATTTATGAATTAGGCACAATTTACACATATAAATTAATCTCTAGGTTTTGACTCAACGTCTGTATGGCAACTCTTGTAGCAACTGCCTCAGTGATATATTATAAATAATAAAATTGAAATTGGAGTCATACAAAGGAAAACAGATGAATGTCACTTGTGAATACTGAACCAGGAAGTTGGTTAGTCACCTTAAAATCACTATCAGGGTGATCCTCACAGGAGATCACTAAGGAGTATTATCTTGCTCATGTCCTCGTGGGGAAACCAAGGCTCAAGAAGATTCACATGTGTGCGTGGTCACTAGACTAGGAAGCAAGATTCCTAGGTTTTTTGGGGTTGTGTATTTTTTTGGTTTTGTTTCTCTCATCATGCATGTGTGCACATGGTCATACGTAGAGAATTGTGTGTGCACATGATATAGGTGGAGGCCAGAGGATGACCCTAGGTGTTTTTGATCAAATGTTCTCTGTCTAGGTTCTTTGTTTTCGAAGGGGCTTCTTATTGATCTGTGGTTTGCCTGTTTAACTAGACTGGCTGACCAAGAGTGCCACAGATCTGCGTGCCTCTCTCTGCCCTGCCTCCCCCAGTGCTGGATTATAGTAAAGCACATCTCACCAAGCCTAGCTCTTTTATGTGGGTTCTGGTTGTGGGAATCCAGCGTGGGGCTTCATGCTTGCATAGCTAACACTTAACTGACTCAGCAATATCCCAGCCCTAAGTCTATTCCACAATTTTAGCCTCCATAGAGAGCAGCTGTGTGTGATACTACTTCTCCACTTCAGATAATTAGAATCCCGAGCATTGAGACTCTGGTGCTACTCTGTAATTATGAAGTCCTGTCCTAGGATCTGAAATTCGAGGCTAATGCTGTGGACTTCCACGGATGTGGGGTACCCAAACAAGGGAGATACAGAAGAGGATGCTTAGCCATTGCGTCCAGTCTAACACATCCGTTTCTGTCACACTTTCGCTGTTCCTACCACCTGCCAATCACTCCTGTCATAGGTGCTTAGGGAATGTGTGTAGAGGAGCTTTTATTTTTTTTTCTACTTCATTTTGTATGTCATAATTAGGATGCAAATGAGAGTCTCTGCAGCTGCAAAGGTCATAAATGGGAAACTTGCTACATCTCCAGGTTTCTACAGATTTCAGTGATTTTGGTCCAAATCCAGAAACTGTCTGGAGACAATAAAAGACTGTGGAATGGTAACTGGGCAGGAGTGCTCAACTCTCAGTGAGACACTTTGCTGGTACCAGAGGCATTTAAGTTTCACAGTCTTGCAGTAAATTTAAAGTTAAATTATAAAAGTCAGGCTCAGTTTTGATAAGTCTCAAATTTATGTGCACCATGGCTTCTCCTAACTAGACTGTGGGGGCAGCTAGCTAGGAAAGTTTCGATTGAAAAACTCATGCCAAAGTGTCCCGAGTGAAAACTCCAGCATTTGTAGAATTTCCAGTGACGCCTCTCTGGATACTCTTAGGCCTTGTAAGCACCATGGGTTTGGAAACCAGCATGCGCCTACTGCTGAGAAAGAAGTGTGTTACAGGACAGGGCAAAAGTTAAGGGGAGAATCACTTTGCCTAATGTATTTAAGGAACTATCCTAGTGTCTGTTTCCATATTTAAATGTAATTACTGCTGAATTTTTGTAACTTGTCTTTCACAGGACACGGAATCCTATAAGTTTGGGGCTAGTATGGTAATTAGGGTGGCTAAACCTCAGTTTCTTCACCTGCAACCTGTGATGCCAACATCTTTATCATAGTGATGCTACAGGGGATTCAACTCAGTCAAAGCTCTGATCATGGTTGCCACGAACAAAGTCCTCATGACAGAAAACTAATACGGCACTCATTAACAGGGAAAAGTCCCTGTATTACAGAAGGAACAAAACTTATTTATAATTCTGAAGTCTGAGAAATACAGCATCTGCAGCAGCAGCTCTCAACCTTCCTAATGCTGTGACCCTTTAGTGAGTTCCTCACGTGCGGACCCCCAACCATAAAATTATTTTGTTGCTACATCACAACTGTAATTTTGCTACTGCTCTGAATCATAATGTAAAATATCTGATATGTAGGATATATGTTATGTGACCCCCAAAGGGGTCACAACCCACAGGTTGAGGCTTGCATCCCAACACTAGCTGCCTTTTAAGGA